GGCCCAATCTCATAAAAATTTACTTGCTACTGAAATTTGTTCGCAACATCATGTCTTATATTTTCGGTCTAATGTTTCACCAAAAAAAGACATCAAACAGTGTATTACTGGAAGATAACGCTATTAAGGCAAGCTTTTGTAATTAAAGTATTCGGTATCAATACGGGGAGCATTGTCCTCATCTTTGTTGTTATTATCACAAAGTTTTGGTCATTAGCATCTCACATCAGGGATGTACCGATTCGATCATTTCTGTTTGAATTTATGAAATGAGGAGACATCATTATTTCCTGAATGTGAATAATGTAACTAATTACTCCTTATCCCAGAAATTCAGAGAGATAATTATTAGGTGATAATAACAACAAAGACCAGGATATTAGTCTAAATGTAAATAATGTAACTAATTATTCATTATCTCAGAAATTTAGAGAGAAGTCGATCTGGTGATAGCAACAACAAAGATGGAGATATTAGTCTGAATGTAAGTAATGTAACTAATTACTAATTATCCCAGAAACCAGACAGAAATTATCGTCATCAATTTCAGTTTTATTTAACGTTTTAACCGCTTTAATCTCCGGTCTTTTTTCAGCTACCTGTTGCATCCGATAAGATTCCGGGAATTTTCAACGGAACCCTTTATTTGATACAAATGTTTGTTTGTTGTTCTTTCGACGGAATTTCAAAACGGCTTTCTTCTTTCATCTCTTTTCCATTAATAAGTTTGTCTCTTAATGATGAGAAATTGCGACAAAAGGCGATAAAACTAAGAAGGTGTTTTCGGAACCAAAGAGAATGAGAAACCTAGAAATGTTAATAAAGAACATGTTTAGGAAGAAGATGGTGATTGATACATTTAAATTTTTTGAAGATCATTTTGCCAGGTAGAAACCGGAAGAGGTTTCCCAGTACAAAAGAAACAATTAGAATAGAAATTCATCTGGCTGGTCGAAGCACCAGGAGGAGGAAGAGCTCATTCGAAGAACTGACATGAAAATATTTATAAAAAAAACAAAAACACAGGGGAGTCACGTCATGACAGTGGGAAATGACTGTAGTCGAAATGCCAGTTCAGGACCGATATGCATTACAGACCCTTCTTTGGATTTTGTCAAGAATCTAGAGTTATATAACCGGATCACCAGACCAGATGTGGCAGCAATATTCAATGAACAGAAGAATGTTTCCTTTCTTGTCAAGGCACTTAATTTAATGATAAATATTTCTCACATAGATTGAATATTAAACAGTGAACATTTGCAATCAGATCCTGGTATATGTTTCATCTTCTTTTAAATTTGAACCGTTTTCCTTCATAAATATATCACATTCTATATCTCTGCAGGTTTTTAGAGATTTACATCTAGCTTTTCATTTATAACCAAGTTTTTTTTATGTAAACTGCCATCTCTGGCCTGATGACTCAGTCCTAGTACTGATTGCTTCCAATGTCTTATTCTTCTAACGATTCAGACAGATTCTTTTTTTCCGTTTTTATACTATGGTTCACTCAATGCAAGGCCCAAGAGTCACTCAAGTTAGAGGGTTACTGAATGAGATGAGCGTACAGGGAGGAAATAAGGAGTACATATTATAAGGATACGTAGGACAGATAACGGTTGGCTCTAGACTTGAAGGGGTTAAGTTTGTAGCGATCAGGAAAGCATCCTCTTAGGAGTCTGTTCTACAGAGTGACAGTTCTAAGGAATAAGCTGAGTGGTACCCCTCATTGCCAAATGAGTATAAAGGTAATGAGAATGATTCGATTTTGTGGACGTGTTATGGCGGGTTCTAGATGTGAAGGTCTGAACTAGTTGAACTAAGGAATGTTGCTCGGCTGAACATTTGCCATGGAAATCAAGGTAGATTAGCGAGAGGTTCACAACGTTTCGTCTATGGCGAAACTGTTGCAAGGTGGGAAAATAATGCTTTTACCGAGTGTAACAGCAAAATTGTCGAAATCGTGTAACAGCATAATTATTCATCCCACAAATTTATTAATATCTAAAAAAATCACTAAACCTGTTGGGTTTCTTTTTAGCCACCTTGACACCATTTCTCGTAAGAATCACTGAAAAACCTTTTGAGTCATTCAGCTAAAAAGAGAACAGGTTAAAATCGTTTTGTGTTAGCCCCACTGTTTTTCCAACTAAGCAATGATGAGATGAAAGCGATTATTTAGGCCTTCAGTAATGGTACCAACATCCATATTCTGGCTTCCATCTTCAAAATGTGGGAACAGTAGAGAGGGAAACTGAATCAGAGGGCTCATCATTTCGAAGAGCTAGAGATCAATTAGAAAAGATTCAACTCAACCCACAAGATGGTACGTGAGAGAGGAGTTTCAGCTCTGACAGTTCAAAGAGCAGTGAAAAAAAGATTTGAAAATGAAATCGTACATGACACCTGTGAGGAACCTTATTACTCCAGGACAGAAATTAGAAGGTTAGAGAGGGAGAAGATCATCTTGAATAACTTGCAAAACTGATACTGGAATAATATATATATATATATATATATATATATATATATATTAATTTTATTTCAATACTTCATGGGCATCCGATGGTTAGCTATGATTAATTAATGACATACATGTCATTTTCATTTATGATCTATTTCATCACGATTCTTCTGTTAAGCTTGGAGAGTAATTATAAATTCTTGTTACTTAAAGTAGAGTCTAATAGTGCTATAAAAAACCTCGGAGAATTCCAGTAAGATATTTTAATCATTTCTAAGATACAACGATTAGACAATTTTGCTGTTACACGATTTCGACAATTTTACTGTTACATCCGGCATAATAATATTCAATTCATCATCAAATTCAGACTTGGTGAACCCCTGGACTATCTAAAAACTGGAAACTCCTTAAAATGCTAGGACAAAAATGTTTAAAACCTTCAATTTTTTTCTTTTTTTTTTAATCAATTCACTCCAAACAAGACAATAATGTTACTAAGACGCATGTAGTGAAAGAAAATAAAAAGACTTTAGAAGGAAGCAGAAACCCAATCCTAAACAGGGAAGAAGGGATAGACCCCTACTCCTGTTCAAAAGACCGAATGTGAACCGAACGATAAGCGAATCTATTTATTCCTCTGCTGGAGAAAACATAAATAAAATTTCAGACGGGCACGTTAGAAGTATAGAGTCGAAGTTTTTTGTGTATATGTATTTACTAGTGAGCCAGTCAAAATGACTTGACTCATTTTATAGTCCACCAAGAGAAGGGTTAACCAATCAGAAGACGTAGAATATTCAATCCGTCGTGTATAAAGGCGGCCATTTTGTTTACTCTATCCGAATGTCCACTGCCAACTTGTCAGACGAAGAGGAACAGAAGGAAGAACTACTGAACTACGCTCTGCTACTTTACCGGGATATCCACTGCTAACCTGAACAAGGCTTCCCTACAGTCTTCGAAATATTCACTGCTAACCTCTGGATTCTATACTCAAAGACGACCGTCATCATGAACCACAAAGTAGACTTTAGAATGAACCGGAAACCCAATCCTAAACTAGAAACGGGGGATAAACCTCTACGCCTGATCAAAGGATTTGGTTGGTTGATTTTGTTTAGCGGCATTATTTAATGCCGAAATCTAAATATTTTGTACGTAATTTTATACTTTCAGAGTAAAAGTATGTCTTTTAGCTATATAGTTTGTAGATCATAAAATTTATTGTAGGTAATTTTACTTTAAAAATGTGCTTTTATTATTGATCATTATTGATTGTCATTTTGCTATAAAAATCTATTGTTGGTCATTTTATGATAAAAATGTAATGTTGATTTTTGTTGTGGGGGTTCATTATTTGCCTATAGCTGGGACCATAACAAGTGCTACCACCCCCGGTTTGAATGAACCTGGGAACAGGTGCAGTTACGAGGTGGTTCCACTCTCCTAAAACTTCCAATCTTCCGATCAGAAGCCTTACTGTCGGGTGTAGTTTATTGTCATAACCAGGACAACTGTTCAAAAGATCAGGGAGGAATGTAAAGAGAATTTATCATTGGATGGTAATTGTAAAACCCTAAGCTGGAGATTGCTTAGCTTATGTCTAAATCTAAGACTGATTCTAATCTAATTGACTTGAATAAATACATGACTTATATTCTAGAATATTTCTAGCGAGTTTTATTGCTTTTCGATATAAAATAATTTAACAATAATAGATGACCTGCACACAAGCCACCAATCTGCCACTGGGCGGCATGCCACTGGCATTTATCGCTGGTAGCCCGCTGTCGGACCGCCGGCGTATTCCTCTCGGCAATGTTGCTATCGGCAGCCCGCCAGCAGGCCACTTGCGTGTAGTGGGTGTCCAAAATTCCCCAGCGCCTTAATAAAATATGAGTGATTAAAAGAGCTGTTATCATCGGACTGGTTGATTTTGTTTAGCGGCATATCAACATTTATGGGTTATTTAATGCCGAAATTTAAATATTTTGAACACAATTTTATGGCTTTAACTAAATATATTTTAAATGAAATTGTTGCCTTTGTCTACAGATAATATTTCTTGTTGGTAATTCTATGAAATTGTATTGCGGGTCATTTCACTATAAATAGGTGTTATTGGTCATTTTACAATATAAAAATATATTGCTGATAATTTTACTATAAAAATATAATTTTATGCTTTCATAGTATTTTTGTTTAAGGGGTTGACTGACAGGTGCTCTCATCCCGGGTTAGGATGGACCTGGAAGCAACATCAATTAAGATGTGGTTCCATACTCCTGAAAACATCCAATCTCCCGATTGGAGGCCCTGCTGCTGGATATAGTTTATCATCATACCCAGGACTGTGTTATCATAGGAACAAAAATAACAAATTAGTAGATAAAATATCTAATATAATAGCCATCTGAAAATGAACAGAGGTAACTTGACCAAAATATCGTGCTTCTAATGATTAAAGCTGAGTACACGACTTCGAATAAGTCAAAATATATTGATAATTCCCCATCTCAAAAACCAAGTCTTGTGGTCATATAGCGTTGAAACACAGATTCTCGTACGGTCACTGAGGTTAAACAACGTCGAGCCTGATCAGTACCTAGATGGGTGACCGTATGTATACACCAGGTGCTGTATGCTTGGATGTGAATGTGGTGTAATGGATAAAGGTTTGGAATTGTTAATCTGAGAGCCGATTTCAAATTTCAGTTGGATTCGTTATATTCACTTACGCGTAAATACTATTGGGAAAGTTATGAATCCACCTCTTCTACCCCCCGCTATAGGTTAATTAGTATGAGTAAATCATTATTATTTCCAAAAGAATTCATACAATCTAAAAATATTTTCTAGCTTTAAATAACCTGCAAAGGGTTAATAAACCGTAGAAAATGAATGAATCAATCAATCTATTGATTAAGCAGAAGAAATTAAAAGAAGAAATTAGTAAGACTTGTAAACCATTATTATCACCAAAATATATTCTTACAATCTAAAAATATTTTCTGGCTTTAAATAACTTGCAAAGGGTTGATAAGCCGTAAAAAACGAATCAATCAATCAATCTACTGATTAAGCAGAAGAAATTAAAAGAGGAAATTAGTAAGACTTGTAAACCATTATTATCGCCAATATATATTCTTACAATCTAAAAATATTTTCTGGCTTTAAATAAGCTGCAAAGGGTTGATAAGCCGTAGAAAATGAAACAATCAATCAAAAATTAAATAAAATTATCAAGAGCAGTACGAATCAGCCATGATAACCAAATGTTGAAACTATCTGATATTGGAATTAAATGCACTAGAACTAGACAAGCGACGTCCTGTGGGATTGTGGTATAGCGGATATAAGTGTTGGATTAGTTAAATGTTGCTGTCATCTAGTGATCAGTAACTGTGTTACTACCTGAATCGGGTAGTAAAAGTAGTTTAAATGTAGTTTCAGGTAGTCAGGTAGAATGGGTTACTACCTGAATCAGGTAGTAACCCAATCATCGATTTAATACATACAATAGTCAGCACATAAGATATCTCATAAAATGCTAATCTGAAGACGGCCAGACGTTGCTTGCTCGAAACGTCGTGCCTATAATAACATCAATGACAATTGAAATAATTTGAATAAGTTAAAATATATTGAATGCAGTTAAAAAGCCCTTTTTTAGTGGAAAATGTCGCACAAACCTGCGTCAATAGACTACATCTGGTAGCAAGGTCTCTGATCAGGAGATTTTGAGAAGCGTCCTTCCCAGTTCCACTCTGACCTGGGATGGTAGCTCCTATTAGGGTCCCAGCTATAGGTAAATATTTAACCCATAAACAGGGGTCAAATCATTATGAAAGAATAAAAATGGATTTTTATATTAAAAATACCATAAAGATAAATATCACCAGCAATAGACTTGACGCTCGACAAAAACCCTCTTTACAAAAATACGTCAATGAAACTTGATCTACAAACTGATTTCTTACAAAAAATACATATTCTGTTCATACGAAACTATCCCCAAAACTTGTCGGTATTAAATTACCCATTGAGGTTAATAAGCCGTAAAACAAAATAAACCAAACCAAACCTTGTACAAACTTGATAAATGGCAAATATTTTGCCATCAGGTCACCTCACGAGTCTTGTAACTTATTATGGTCATAGCGCCACCTCATTTACTGCAACCATGGTCGCAATCGTGTGTTTAGGGTAATTTCGCCCGACAGAGTCTATCTCTCTTCAGACTGGTTTGAAGAGAGCCAAGTCTATCCTGCTACTTAATCCATAGCTGGAGGAAAGTAGATTCGGTGAATTCATGTCTTTTCCAAGGACACGAAGTGAACGAAACAGAATCGACCGGAATTTGAACTCGACACGCCGATTTCATTTTCCGCGCTATGTTATCCGGGCGTCCTATATTTTTTTTTTTTTTTTTGCTTGACTACACATGTCAACGAGGAACAAACAAAAATACGATGATGCTAAATTTAAATTTACCGTACAATTCCGCGTATAAGCCTATAAGACGACCTTTAGATAAGACGGGGTCAAAAAATATACCAAATGTTCATGAATTTATCTTATACCTGCAATACGACTACTTATTGATTATATAAAGATGATGTTATTGAAAATGTTGCTACTTGCTGTTTCCTTAGAAATTCAAAATAAATGTGAATAACAAAACTGATTCTATGTCATGTTTTCCGATACACGTCCCCTAAAAGGGAAACCATTGTTTTTGTTTACGTTTCATCACGTGATCTCTTGCGAATACTGATTCTTCTTCTTCTCTTTCCTCTTCTCCTTTTCTGAAATCTAAACAATTAAAAACAGCATGGTGTACTAATGGCTATTTATAATGACAAAATACCGCTAGTAACAGTACGATAATAGTACATTCCATTGCTGTGAACGCAACCATAACTCGATGTTTACATATCCAGAGATGAGCTTGCATGGATACAAGTTGATTTCATTGATAGCGAATTATTCTTCGAATAGGCAATTTATTATGAAGTTATGCCAGTAATATATAAGGTAGAAATGATTTTATTACTTTTATTATCATTTTATTTGATAATGTGTTTTTTTTTTCATGAACCTTATAGGTTATCTCACCGAGTATGAGGTTAGTGACAAACGTAAGTCAGAATATAAGGTCTTTTTTTAGAATTGTAGTAAAAGTCGATTATTATAAGTGTGTGTGTGTGTGTGTGTGTGTGTGTGTGTGTGTGTGTGTGTGTGTGTGTGTGTGTGTGTGTGAGAAAGTGAGAGAGATGCCTTTAATTTACACGTTTGTCTTGCCGAGCGAATCTGAAACGTTTGCCGGCTCCGTACCCACGCACCATACGTTCTACACCTTCGTAAACGCCGTCGCTTCAAGCAAAAGCGGCTAATTACCAAAGCTGTAAAAATAGGAAAGGCATTTGCCCATCGATTTAAATGCAAAATTCTTCTTAATCGCCTCTGCATTTTAAATTAACTCAACAACGGTGTACTTTCAATGACGCTTGCTACTCGCTGGTAGTTCAGAATTCGTTTTAGACCATAGAAGAAAAACAAGAAAGACTGCTTATTCAATGTTGTGTCATAGTGAAAAAGAAAAACGTAACAACGCTAGAGACAAGTTCTTTTAAAATGTTTTCTCTTCTTGATATAATTTTACAGCCATTTTGATCATCTCTTTGATAAAATCATATTTAGTGTCATTTTGTATCATTTTACTCGGTGCACATTGACTACGATAAACACTCATCACGTATACAATTTCCGTTATAATAACAACATTATATATAATTTCCTGTCAGATACATATATATATATATATATGTGTGTGTGTGTGTGTGTAAAATGTGTATGTATATAAATAAAATATATATATATATATATATATATATATATATATATATATATATATATATGATAATATTAGTGGAAAATATACATACATATGAAAAATATATCTAAAAAATTCCCATACATGTATATTTTCAGAAAAAAATTTTTCCAAGAGGAAGGATCCAGGTAGAACTCAATGTCTAGGACAGAGTAAGGATATAATAAAAAAGGCTTAAACACTAATATTCCATGGTCCTAATTTATTCCATTGGAATCGTAAATACGATCAAATCATCAGACCTACAGATTCAAAAAATTTTTGAATTTGTAGGTCTGATAAATTTGATCGTATTTACGATTCCAATGGAATAAATTAGACCATGGAATATTATTTAAACCTTTTTTTATATATATATATATATATATATATATATATATATATATATATATATATATATATATATGCGCAATTTTTTATATATTATTTATATATTATATCCGTGCGGTACTTATTGGAAAGCACTCAATATCAGTGATAGAGCTAACATACTTAGTTGGATTGATGTGAGTTTGTGGCCCTGTGTTTCACACTATTTGCGATCGTCAGACAACCTGATTGATTTTAAATTTTGAATTTTATATGGTTGCGTATATATGCAACCATATATAAATCAAAAATTTAAAATTAACAGTTGTCTGAACGTCATAAATAGTGTGAAACCCAAGTCTGAAACTCAAATCAATCGAACTATATATATATATATATATATATATATATATATATATATATATATATATATATATACAAGAAGAAATACACACACGCGCACGCACACACACACATATATATATATATATATATATATATATATATATATATATATAAAAAAAATCCGTGGGTAATTAATCCAAGTAGATCCTATTAATATAAAATATTAAAACTGATCCACAAAAGAGACCTCAATATAATTGTTATTATAGACCATATAACTGAATTACAATTAATGGGATCTAAACGATTTACCTCATACAGATGATTATTTTGTCCATGGGAAAGTAGTTTTCCCTGGATTTATCAATGCAAATACATTTACTAAAATTTTAGTCACTCGCCCAACTCCCTAAAGAGATAACAAAATAGAACCTGGAATAGATTTTCTGTTTTTATTTCATTTTTGATTTAGAGGTCCGATGAATGAGGCTAACTATTGCAACCTCATGAAATAAAAATTATTACCTATAGAATTTCAAGTGTTTGATATTCATTAATTAATAATAATTTTGCTCTATCTCTGACACAAAGCTCTCCTTAGATTTATATCCTATCGGAAATTCCATAGGTATTACCATTATTAATATATATATATGTGTGTGTGTGTCATTATAGCTTGAGGTCTACTTCAATATAACCTGCGGTCTACCTCTCGTTTCGTCTATAGCGTGAGGTCTGCCGCAGCATCGAATGATATTATAATTTAAACCTTATATTATCATTTATACATCTATATATTACTTATATTAAAGTCGGTGGGGTTGGGTAAAAATAAACACGCTATCAAATACAATACATTTATTTTAGTGACAAACACTTCGTATATCTTCTAGGAATGACACGAATGCATCATTGGATTTTTTTTTCTCATTATCTTCCACCAAAAATGATTAAGATGTGACTGGAACAGCTGACTACCAACACCACGCATTTGGCTGATAGCCACGTGAGAGGAGGGGCACGGTAGACCTCCATGCTGCACCTGAGTAGACGGCATATTGAAGTAGACCTCACACTATAGTAGTTTATTATCAAATTTTAAGGCTATGTATTTTGCTTTACATTTGACATCGAGCACCTTTGTTTTATTTCGTTCGTACTTTATTGCGCAACTATTAAATTTATATATATATATATATGTTGTAACCTAGGAAGGGTTACTGAATGAGGAATAACCAAAACAGGGGTTGGAAATGAAATGGTAATCTTTATAACATCAACAAAATACAATACTCGCCAGCGGCATGAAATGGGTAAACCACTGCTAGTGGTGGACTACATAGACAGCATCTTACCCCCACTTACAGTAGTGTCCAACGTATTTATGAGGATTGGGACATACCCATTAGTGTTCATAGGTATAGTATATAACAATATATATATGTGTGTGTGTGTGTATTCACGTGCCTGTATAAAAACAAATTAAAATTACCCTAAAAACATTGACTTTGAGGGAAATACACTTGTGATTTTGGTTCCTATTGTATATGGGTACAGGTATGTGTACATATGTATGTATGTATGTACGTACGTATGTGTATGTGTATTTTTGTGTACTTGTCACATATACATAAGGGGTGAGGTCTGCTGATGTGTTTTCATGCTGTTGCTCACATCTCATATATATTATTTATTATCATTACCATATATATAATTTTTAATATTATTTGTATTTATTTTTTTACTCATTATTATTATTATCTATATATTTGTATTTATTATTAGATACTATTATGATTTTCTGGATTTTTTTTTTCTTCATTATTTCTTTTATATTTTTGTTATATATAGTTATATATAGGTATATAAGTTTTTATTATATATTTTTATCATAATTTTATAATTTTTCTCATTATTATTATCATTATTATTATTATTATTTGATGATTATTGTATTATATGATGATGATTATGCAGACACTACTTTAACGTCTTCAATTTGTAAACTTGGTTTTGAGACTGTAACTCTTTTAAATTTACCCGTTATATTAAATTGTTCCGTTTTCTTAATGTAAGCCTTCTAAGAAAACTTTTCCAGGTTAATTTATTTTTGATATTGTTTCATCTTGGTTTCTTTATTTATTTCTTTTTATCTTTGTATATCTGTCTGGATATATTGATTCCATTTCAGAATAGGTAGTCAGTCTGATGAGAAGAATATACCTATAGTCATCGAAATAAATTTATTACCGAATATTTTTAATTTTTTTCCTAATTATATATATATACATATATATATATGTGTGTGTGTGTGTGTGTGTGTGTGAAGGGTAGAATACAGAGACTTGGTGCACTACGTGCCACTGGGTCCTCCGCAGGTTTTGAATTCAGAGTTGTCCTTCTCCTAGACCAGTTGCCATCCAATGCTATAGAACCCAGTCTGTCCTGCTATTTACCCATAGCAGGAGGGGGGAGAAGAGGATTCATACCTTTCCCAAGGATATTAGCACATAAGTGAATGTAATGGATTCGACTGGAATTCGAACTCGGCTCTCCGATTCCTCAATCCAAGCCGCTATCTATTACTACATCGTACGTTACAATACTTTATTAACTAAAATTATAATACTTTATGAAACAAAAATAATACTTTATTAAATAAAATACTAATAAATCAGCTTCCCCAAAGAGTAGTAGTAGTAATAATGAGAACGTAGGTCACAGGTAATCTCCACGGATTTAATGCAGTTTAATTCTGTGATTATCATGGCGGCATCAAATTCATCAAAAATCATTTTTAATTGAAGGTAATATCAGCTATCGAGCAGAATAGCCAATGGTAATTAAATTTAACCGAGGTATCTGATAAGATTTTTTTTTCGGAAATCTAAGATAATTAAAGTATATAAGAAATACATTTCTATTATAGCCTATAAATATAAAGGGGCAACCTAGAGGCCAAACGAAAATCTTAGGGACATCGCCTCTTCTTGCCAACCTTCGTAGAATCGCGAAAAGATTATGAGACATCTGCATAGCTATCTATATGTCCACATAAACAATTTACGTCGGGAAAAGACAGTAATTTATGAGTATTGTTCTTGTTTTTTTTATTATATATATATATATATATATATATATATATATATATATATATATATATATATATATATATATATAAAACTTCCTGACGTGTGGATGAAACGATTGCAGAACGGTTCGTCTACGAAACTCCGAATATAAAATCAATCGGCTAAGTGAAAGAATTTGTTTGTATAATATATATATATATATATATATATATATATATATATATATATATATATATATATTATGTAATGGACAAAGTCCGACAATTATTTTAAAAGATATTTTTATGTTTATACATTCTTTTTATAGATACAAATATTTAAGTAAATCCTGTTTATAATAAAAAAAGAATGTATAAACATAAAAATATATATATATATATATATATATATATATATATATATATATATATATATATATAATGGACTCTCCCGTCGATTTCGACGTATGAGGTTCCGACAATCTCATTCACTTTTTATGTTTGTCTTCATTCTAACTGGTGACCTACATACAAGTTCAAATATTGTGTAACAGCGAGGATCTCGAGACATAGCCACAGGAATATTCGTTGACGCTTCTCGCCATTGTCTTTCGTCTCTTAGCTGGTCAATACGACTGATTTCGAATTGGTGTCCAAGGTTGATCTTCTCGCAAAATGCAGCACTAGCAGAATTAAGACTTTCCTGATGCAGTCACAACTTCGCTAGTCTGGTCATATTGCAAGAATGAGCGATGATGGTATACCAAAAATCCTCATGTATATCCAGCTTGACAGTGGACAAAGGACTGATGGACGGCTATGGCTCAGGTATAAAAGCAAGCTAAAGAGTAACCTCTCAGCTGTCAATGTACCTCATACTAACTTTGCCCTGGATAGAAATTTCTGGAGATATCTGTGCCAGAGTGGTATGACACACACACACACCTATAGCTATAATTTTCTACTATTCAAATGTAATGTCAGTCGACGTCTCCAGATGTCCTGTTCTATCCCCTAACCTTCTCTTCATCCTTTCCTCTGTCACTCCTCTTTGCTCTCGCTCCAACTCTCTGTAACCCCTTGCGTGCTAGTGGCTCCTCGCCTTGCTTGGGCTGAAATGCTCCAAGAAAAAAAAAAAATAATATATATATATATATATATATATATATATATATATATATATATGTATGTATGTATAAAAGTGAACATAGAAGTCAACACTTAGAGGCGACAGTCTGTTTCATGCTATATGCAATCGTCAGGCCACGTGTGCTGTTATTTTTTCTCGGCTATTTATATATATATACGGGTCAGTGGTGCATTGTGGGTAGTCTATTATGGCGGTTATTTTACCGGAAGTCGTTTATTTATTTATTTGGGTTAAATTATTTTGCTTGTTTTTTTATTTATTTTTTATTTTTTTGCACCACTGACCCGTATATATATATATATATAAAATAGCCGAGAAAAATAACAGCACACGTGGCCTGGCGATTGCATATAGCATGAAACAGACTGTTGCCTCTAAGTGTTGACTTCTATGTTCACTTTTATATTTACACACGCTCTATCTCTGATATTGAGCACTTTATCCCATAAATATAGCACACCTTAAGACTATATTTCTTCATATATATATATATATATGTATATATATATATATATATATATATATATATTTGTTTCTCCCTGTCACGTCTGTCTATGATTAATGTTGATTTACATTACTATAACTTGTTTGCCAATCAGTTCAAGAGAAAGACATTTCTGAATTCAAAATCTGAAATGGCCTCGTGGAACACTATGAGCACCTCGAATAGGTATGCTTGTTTCTGCACACGTCTTCAGGGCTATAATCAAATCATATGTGCAGTTAGCCCGGTTATTCATTTTTGTCCCCGTTAGAACCTCATACATCACAGACGACTGGACAATCTATCACATACACACACTCACACACACACACACACACACATATATATATATATATATATATATAATTATTTATTTAAAAAATTATTATTTTTTAAATAAATAATTATATCTGCTCTACTCTCTATTGAGCACTCTTTTAAGAACAGTTATTGTAGGTTATTGGAATTTATTCCGTATACACCAATTATATACTTGGATATATATATATATATGTGTGTGTGTGTGTGTGTGTGTGTGTGTGTGTGTGTGTGTGTGTGTGTGTGTGTGAATGAAATGCAAACACCATATCTGAATCTTACAGCTAGTGATACGCTGTGGTGTCAATACCCCTACTCGCCGACCGCCCGGTACACGACATACGCTACCTGTGGTAAATGCAAATGATGTCCTGCAGCCTTTATTTTCAAGTACGCGTTTGTGTTAGATTTAAATCGCGACTGGCCCAGCTGTTTTGGGTTGAAAAGATCAAATTGAGTTCACACCAGGTGTCGCATTTACTTGAGGATTCATCGGGTGAAAAGGCTGAATATGAGTGTAGCTGCTTTGAGAGGGACCTGGAGTTAGCAATGAGTAATGATAGTGCTATGACCTCTGAAAGCGAGCACTATGGTATTTGTGAGGGTAGGGGTTGGGGTAGTGAAGAGAGGAATCACGGGGTCAGAGTTCAAAAGGTTAAGGAAATCAGAATGTTCACCGAGCCGCAGTAAAAATGTAAAATATTTGAAGGGATGTCAATTTGTTACGAACAAAACCAAACAACTCTTTCCCTCTCCACATCTTAGAAAATTGTTGTTTGATTGGATGGAAGGAAAAAAAGATGTCTTTTAATCTTTAGGGACAACGAAAATGGTTGTTGCCCTCAAAGATGGGATTCGAAAATAATCAGAAAATGGAATTTATAAGACCTCTCCTTAACCAGAGCAAAAAGATGCTCTTTATGTTAGCCATATTTTTTAATCATTTAACTCCAAGCAAAGTATCAAAGTCACTAAAATGCAAACGCTTGCTGAAAGTGAAAGAAATTAAGAAAATGTTATTGAATATATATATATATATATATATAATTATGAAAACGGAGACTTTAGAAATCCATGGTAATATTTTATTTCGCAAGACCGATACTTCATCACATCAAACCAAAATCAGTAACTGGTAATATTTTTAAAAAAAATAAAATAAAATAAACATGTATAGCTGATAATTTTTTTTTTTTTTTTAAATGTATAGCTGGTAATATTTTTTTTCTTCAAAAATTATTGCTGGTGATAATTTTTTTACAAAGAATTTCTGGTATAAAAGCCTATTTTTACACTTTCATAGTGTCTTGACCCCAGTTTGGAAGTTAACTATTTTCCCATAGCTGGGACCCTAACAGGTGCTACCACCCCGAGTCAGGATGGAACTGGGAACCCCCAGCAACTAAGAGATGGTTCCACGCTCCTCAAAATCTCCTGATCAGAGGTCTTGCTATTAGATGTAGTTTATCGTCTTACTCAGGACGCGGATGTAGTTTACCGTCATACCAGGACGGCATGAAGAAGACAACGAGAAATGACTTCACTATATTTCCCAGGAAGGTATGATAATTCATGTAGATATAAAGAGAGCAATGATCGTCTATGTCTTGAAGAGATAGAGCCCTAAAATATGTTAAAGTTTCGTGCAAGTTTTATCTGGATATTATTTCTGTTAATGATTAAAAAGCAGGATTCGTTTTTACATTCGAAAACGGCGTTAATTGGGCATATAAAATTCATTGGTTACTAACGCAGTAAATATAAACAATGCAACTGCAAATTTTCTTAAATATGGCCGTCAAATTTTGAAATTACGAGCAAACTAGCATTATTGCAAATTAACAATGCTTCGTCTAAGAAATTCAAAGACGAAGACCTTGATATGTTTTATGGCTTTTGATTAACATTTAACGCACACGTTATTGAAAGCTTTTCCAATAATCTTCTGTACTGAGTGGCAGCAAAAATAGATAAGATCGGAAGATGTAAGTAAGAAAAGCGACAAAGAACGGATTTAGAAAGCTGTTGCCATTAAAGTCAGAGAAACGTTGGTATCGCGGGAAATCTCTTTTTCAATTTCAATGTGAGAAGGACGCAAACAGTCACGACCAATGCAAAATGTGTTTGTAGAATAGAGAGAGCAAATCCTTTATTGCAAACAGCTATAATGGATCACCGGGTGTCGTGCTACTGGGGAAAAGACTTTCCGACGAGGTAGAAGGTGGGAGTTAAGTATAAAAATAAAGGAATAGAAATAAAGAAATATAAAGTGGGGGGAGGGGATCAGTATATACCTTCCCTATCTATCTCACATTTTTCCTCATTTTTCTTTATCTTTTTTCTTTCTTTCTTTGCTTTGTTTCTCTGTTGCCTTTTACTTCTGTTTATCTATTTCTTTCTCTCTTTTTTTCTTTCTCTTTTTCTTTCTTTTTCACGCTCTCTTTTGTTTCTCTCTCTCCTTTTTACACATTTTTTCTCTCTGTCTTTTTACCTCATTTGTACTGTCCCTGTCTCTCCTCTTTTTTGCCTTTTTTTCTCATATTTCTCTCTTTCTGTTCCTCTTTCTCATCCTCTCTTTATTTACTTCTTGTCCGCTTTTCCTTCTTTTCTCTATTCGTCTCGTCACCCCCACTCTCTCTCTCCTCTCTCTCTCTCTCTCTCTCTCTCTCTCTCATACACACACACGAACTATCTATCTAATTTCTATCTATCTATTTTAAGTCTTGATATCTATGCATCTATCTCTTCATATTTATCTTATCTCTTCATATATATCGATCTATCATGCCTAACTCTTCATATCTATCTTGCCTATCTATCTTACCTATCTATCTCTTCATATCTATCTTGTCTTTCTATCTCTCTTCCTATCTACCTTTTTTTATCTATCTATCTGTCTGTCTCTCTGTCTTGCCCCTGCCTATTTCTCTCTCTCTTGCTTATCTATCTCATCTCTTCCTATCTATATATCTCTCTGTCTTGCCTCTCTGCCTCTCTATCTCTCTTGCCTATCTATCTATCTATCTATCTATCTATCTATCTATCTATCTATCTATCTTGCTTCTCTGCCTGTCTATCTTGCCTATCTATCTCTTCATATCTATCTATCTATTTTGTTTATCTGTCTCTTTATATCTGTCTATCTGTCTATCTATCTATCTATCTATTTATCTATCTGTATGATAGCGTAACAACAAATAAAATTCTTCCTTGAAAGAAACCAATATTAGATTCAAGTCGAAACAACTAGAACTCAAACTCTCAACGTTAAGACTTTTTCCCAAAAGCAATAAGGGCATGGCTCTTCATCAACCACCCACACAGAACATTCATTTGGATGGTGGATCTTAATGATCATCAGAGAACAAATGGGAAAATATAAAAGGGTTGATTCCATTTCTGCTGGTTGACCAAAATTAAGCAATTCGTCTTACGACTTAAGGAAAAAATGCGCATCCACTACAGCAACTTGCCTTGATTTAGCGATATTGTTTCCCGGGTTCGAAGACATTTATCCTAGAAAGCCCACTTTGGTCAGTCTTGTGTTTGTAAATCAAATTCAATGAGTATTCTAGGGATTCTATTTCTGTGGATAATGACAATTTCTTTAAATATTCAAGTGACTTTCCTTGACACGATTTCATCGAGAACAATGATGTTTTATATCTTTATCCATGCATTTCCTTTATATTAGTTTCAGTAACTCATGACCAACATCAGAAATAATTCATAAATTTTATTTTTCATGGTCCATGTGCATAGAAATAATGATACTGGCAATTCGGTTTTGCAAAAAGAAAGTCGGAACAAATTTTCTGGGGGTGAAAAGGTAAAGGTTTTCGACTTAATAAGATCTAAAAAATATTGGGCAATCTTTAATCTTCGCGTTCGCAAAAAAAAAAAAAAATCGATGTGTCAAAAGAACGTTTTAACCTTGACACCCTATTATTTTAACTACCTTCCCTCCTCGGCAATGTTTATTGTTTTAAAAAACGATGGTTATAATTTTAATAAATCCTAAACACATGATGAAAGTGAATTTAGACATTTTCTTTGTTCTTGAGAATTGGCAACAAATCTAATAAACACTATTTATTAAATTGTTTATTTAGACTTTATAAAATTATTTATTGGAATGGTTTACAAAATATTGGCTAACTGACAATCGATTCAAACTTTATAAAATGGTAAATAATAAAGATTTCCTTATAGTTCGTACACATATTTTAATAATTTAATAAATGTTTATAAATTTATGAATAAAAAATTGTTTTCATATTTATTTCTTTATAAACTGGTAAATGATAAATATTACATTGCTTTAGTTTTAATACAATTGTATTCGTTTTTAGAATGTTGTAAATATAAAATTATTCTTGTAAATAAATAATCTAATAAAAAGACAATGTTTAATATTTTTCTTGTAAATTCTCAAGAACCAAAAATCTATAAATTCACTTTCCTAATATGTTTAGCTTTTATTACAATTCTAATCATTACTTTTTAAAATAATATACATTGCTGAGAGTAAAGGTAGTTAAAATAATAGCGGTATCTAGGGACAAATCGTCCTTTTGACACACTGTTTTCTGCGAGCACGAAGGTCAGAATTGGCCAGAAATCGTATGCCGAGGTTACTAAGCTCTACAGTATGAACGAATTTTCTTTCGATCTCAAAACATTTATTACGGTATAGTAATATAATCTTCCTGCTTTATTATTTTTTATTATGGTAATGGTAATATTGGCCGTTTCCTTATAAGGAAATATTCGGCATTCACTGACCGAGCAGCCAGTGATAATGTCGGTTAAAACAATTTTTCAGGAAAATAGGTTAGTCGCGTCTACTTACTGTTACCGTCCTTACCAGTACTGAATGGAGTTTCCTTCTTAATCTTTTGTTTGACGTCAACAATTTTTTTTCTTCACGTTATACGTGATATCTATTTCAGTTGTTGCTGTGGATGAAAGTCCTCGAGTGATGTGCTTTCTGTTATTTGATACAGTTCTTTTGGGTAGGGTCAGTCCACAAGCTTCGAAGAATGATGGTCGTCTTTAAAACCTATATGCTTCATTGACTCCAAGTCATTTTAACTATTAATCTGAGAAATTGGTTATATAAAGCTGACAGTTTCTGAATAAGTTTGGGGCCATACATGACGTCCTAACGAGGCTATTTAAGAACCTGACTCGAGTTAGTGTTTTGGTTTTGTAGCAACTTGCGGTATTGGGCGAGACTACCCTTAGCGTAGCCTATTCTATGCGCACATTCCTAATCTCCTATACTAAAATTGTTATAACTGATCAATACACCAAGGTATTTGAAGTGTTTAGTATTTACTAATCCCAGATCCTGAATTTTTATGATGGATTCAGGGTAAGTAGCATCAGCGCATTCATTCTGAAAAAAAAATCTTTTAACTTTTAATATAAGTACAGTTTATAAATACAAAAACTAAATACTACTTTTGACTTGACTATAATGTTAAAAAGAAACTTAATTTCACTAAATGCAACCACTACTTCTATTCCAGCGGTTTCTTTTCTCGCGCTTCCCGACAATAAAACTCCCTTCATATTACTTGCTTCCCTGATAACTACAATATTCAAAAAATTTAAATGCAACATCAGTCGCCATCTTCTGCTTTGATCCCCGTTCTTTTTTTTAATCCTTTCCTCAATCCCCTCTATACAGAGTCTTTTCCCTCACTTTCACTCTCTTTAGTCCCTTGCGTCCTAGTGGATCTCCCTCCTTGCTTGGGGTGAAATGCTTAAAAAAATAATAATACGCAGATACAAAATCCCAACCTTAATTTGGCTTTAGATGACTCACTAGGAGTTGATATGCCATTAAACAAAAGAAACAAACAAATTAGTTACGTATAAAATCTCTGATAACAGATAAGTAATATTTGTTCTTATATTTAAATTTATAGATTGAATTTAAATAATTCACCTAATCTCTATGTCACGATTTTTGACTGAAAATAATTTCTTGTCTATGTTTTTTAGTAAAATCTGTATAAGCGTAACTTCAGTTTTGGTATCGGATAAACAAAGTTAACGTTTCAATTCTTTTCTTTTTCTTTTTTTTTTTTTTTTTTTTTTTTTTTGTAACTATATCAACTGCAAGAAAACAGAATGCATGGTCGTTAGCAAAAGGATGAGCCCAAAATGCAAATTGTAGCAATATGAGTCAGCTGAGGTCTTGTTAAATTAAAAACAACTAGAACTGAGGCAAAAAAATGGACTAGGAACATTTATTTTCGATCGATGGTTATCAGCAAGTGAGGTCAACTTCAAAGTACAGAGCAAGAGGCTCAGACAGAGAGAAAGTCACGAGATGAAGATAAATTACTATTTTAAACGAAAATGACAAGACAAAGAAAATTGTTATCTATAAGACTTTGGCACCTCGGCGTGGTGTAATGGTTAGCAAGCTTGTCTTGCTAGAACAATTACGACTGAGTAGTGAGTTCGATCCTCACTGGTTGCCCCATACTTCTGGCCTTGTGCCACATCTAAGCCACGCTTAGAAAATCACTATAAGTCTGACCATCTCGCGAAAAGAAGGACGAAGCGGGAACGAACAAAGAAAGCAAACGTTAGACTGTACACTTCCCTCATTACCTACGCCTCATCTCAACTTCGCTCGCTTATACCAGTAGGTTACACCCAAAGAATAAAATCTGGTTTGCTGCTAGAAATGATTTTGTTTTTTCACTCGTGGATAACGATTTAGCCGAAGGGTAATTTTTAAGCCACAAGCGTGTGACTGGATGAAGCTGTCAATGAACCTGGTGTCTGATGTGAGCTACAACGCAACAGAATTACGAATCGGATACTTCAAAATCAAACACGTACAAAAGTTTTAATATCTGGGAAGAGGAGGGAAAATGCGACACTGACATCCAAAGGTGTATTTGGATGGCAAAAGATGCCTTCCAAAAGCTAAGCAAAGTATGAAAAAACAGGAAAACTTCGTTATAAACAAAGAAAAGAGTACGGAACTATTACTGACTTCATAAATGACAGGGAATCCTGGACAAATTCCTCAAAGATGAAGAAGAGACTTGAAGCAACAGAAATGAGGTTCTACAGAAGGATGCTGAGGGTACCATGGACCGAATATGTGAGCAACAACGAAATTTTAGAGAAAATGGAAACAAAAAGGAAACTTATACTTAACATCATGATGTGATAGTTGAATTTGGGGGAGGACACATAATGAGGAAGGAAGACTTGGTGAATCTAATACTCACATGACATTGTGAAGACAAGAGGCACAGAGGAAAACAACGCATAACCCATTTCGTGAATGGATTAAATAGACGGCGGAGGAAGGTTTCTGAGAAATAACGAAAAGACAAAATTTATTAAGAGCTACGAAGGACAGGAAACCGTGGAGAGCCATGATCACCTACGTCCTGAAGGGAAATGCACATAGAAGAAGATCAAAATATCCGTAACATCTTCCTCAATTCCCGCTTTATTTTAGTACTGACACTTATAACTAGTCCGACCAGAACATTCCTCTTCTGCCTCGACATTAATTGCTCCCTAGTACCAAATAAACGTCCCACCCATTTCATTAAATTTTAGATTTTTTTCCGACCTCACGAATGGAGTTTATTAAGAGCCCCATCACTACGAATATTATTATTAATTTATAGCGTAATGTTCGTAAGACTTTATGTAAATATTTGTTTTTATTTTGCTATTACACCTTACAGAAAGATGATATTTATGAATATTTATTTTAGTTTTATCCCTTCAAGTTGTTTTTAAGCTTCAAAAACTTGTTTTTAATCATTTCCCAACCAACCCGTTTATTGTGACACCCCGTTTGTGAGATCTTCGCATTTTCCGACACTCCCGTTTATTAGACTCCATTTCCGTTTATTACATTTTCTTTCTTCCGACCCCACCCTCCAACATTTCTTACGACTTCCCCTTTTATTGCTACGCGAGAGTACTTCTATCGACAATGTACGGTATATGTATGGGGCATCCGTCGTTCACGAGAAACCTTGGATTTCTTCCCAAAGAGTTATACCTCAGCTGCTGATGGCAGTGCAGGATCTGTTATGGCCGTACAGGCCTACACAGGAGTGACTGAATGCATGTAAACCGCTCTCTCCCGATGTAGCCTTGTTGTTTTCTTTCCGATAAGCCATCGTTTCTCCCGACGGCAAGCCTTCGTTTCTCCTCTCC